TAATGATAAATCCAGACTTGTCTGTTCTACTATATTAAAACAAATAGGCAAAGTGAAAAAGTAATGTTCTGACAGTGGCTSATGAAACTGTCTGTTTTATTTGTTAATACTTGTTTACAGTCAAACACCAGTGTTTTTTGCCTCACTCCCATTTTTCTTCTTTCATTCCAAAACTCTACTTAGAACCTTCTTACGGTCCCACTGTGCAAATTGTGAATTCTTGACATTTTTGTTAACTGGTCCTAAAACTTTGATCATGAGTGTATTCATTGTATAGTTCACAGTCCAGAAATGCATTTTGTATTTCTGGTCTGTGGCAAATAGTCGTGTTAGCCATGTTTTGGCCATTACTGRAAAAAAAAATTTCTTTAAAATTTAAAATGAAACATTTCTACCTTTATTACCAATCTGTAGCAATGCTAGGTGAGATGTTAAAGTGGAGTGTCATGTTGTGCATGCAGGATTTTTCTGATTGCACAGCAGAGCTCCTGATTCAGAGGCTGATCTGTGCTTCGTGGCTTTATTGTGTGTTGATGAGTACTGCGTTTAGAAATCAAGAACAATCTGTACATTGCTTGTTAAGAAGGGCCTACTATTTCTTTGTATTGTCCATAGAATCAAAGTGGGTTGGAGTAGTTTATTTATCCTTGCTCTCATCTAAAGTGGCAGCTTTTTGCCCGAGCTCTTCATCGTATTTTCTTGTAGAGAAAAAAAGATGTCCTGATTTAAATATAAAAAGGCAAAAGATTTATTATTTGTCTCCAAAGGAGAACGTCTTCTATATAGCAGCATGTCTTTCTGTCTTTTGTGTTGTGGTTGCCATGGCAACTGCATCATTCTTATGAAACTTTGCTGTTGCATCACCTCTAGATGGCATCATACTTTGACAGAGCAGKAGTCCGACTCTTGTCAGAGTGACAGCAGACTCTTCTTTCTGCAGAGGTTCATATTTCTTACAACATTTGCAGAGAACTTTTATTTTTTTGGATTGGATTGTTGTTACCATCTGATCCAACCTGCCCTGTCCAGCAATATGTCCTTCTTGCTGATTCTGTCAAGTCTCAGGTTCTTGCTGCTGTTTCTTTTTTTTTTRTTGCCTATCCAGAATAAGTAACAGTAGGCAAAATCGAAAACCTTAACAGTTATGGTTCTTATTTCACTGGTTCTGCTTCTTACTCTGGGAAATAATAAGTGTTAAAGCATGGTAAAAAATATGTAGACTGTGAGAAAATATTTGATGTATTGATTAAAAAATACAAATGGTAACAATGTGTAGATTTTTTTTGTTATTTTTATGTTTTTGTGGTAGTATTCTCTTTTAATCTCACCAGCCCTATGAGGTTGCCTGGCAATCATCTGAGAGGAAACATTTTTGTTTAAAAAGTGACGAAAAATTGACACAAAATTGTCTGAGCCTGTCACTTAATGTACTCTGACTAAAGGTGAAATGAATCCTTGGGAAAACAACATTTCTAATCTCAACAATTTAAAAAGATATAAAGGGGCCATATCATGTAAGATCTTTTTTTTTTTTGAGTTTTATATCATGTTATAATGTTATCCGCTCTTTGACTCATTCATGCATGTTTAAGAATCCTGTAGTGTCCTGAGGCAGCCATGCAGGAGAGCAAAAACCACTGTTTGAGCCTAGAATCACCTTTTGGGATCAGCTCCTCCTCTGGGCTGTGTCTCCAAGCCGAGCTTCCTCATCACAGAGCACACACACACACACTCAGCCCCGTGCTTAAATGGGTGGGGCAGAAGCGGAAGGAAGTTCTTAAAGAGACAGAGACCAATTTCAAGGTGTTTAGAAACAGATATGATGAGAAGTCAAGTTTATTTTCTATTTAAACTTATAAACAACATTTTATTAACAACTGAAGGTGACATAGTAACTTTATTATGGTATAGTATTTAAATGTATGCCTGAGAAACATATAACATTGGCCCTTTAAAGGGTGACATTTTTTAAACTGCCATGATGCAGTTTACTTGGCATCTGAAAATACATTTCCTCAAAGGTATTTTTAATTTAACAAAAGCTTCACTGAGTGAGAATTAATAATGAGAGCAGCAGACAGCTAGGTTTCTGTTTCACTTTCACCCGAGAGCCTGCAGGAGTCATGGGCGGGGTGTGTGGGGAAGGGGGGAAGGGGGGCGCTCTGCCATGAGGAAGCTCGGCTTAAAGACACATCCCAGAGGCGTTTCTGGACCCCACCTGTCATTTTGCTCCTCAGCATGGCTGCCTAAAAACGCTGCAGGATTTCTTAAACATGCATGAGTTAGTCTTAGCAAGGCTTTGGGCATGTTTATTATGAGCGTATAACATTATAACATGATATAAAACTCAAAAAAACTTTGATTTTACATGATATTGCCCCTTTAAATGGTTTAGTTTCACATATATATTTTTATACTTATATTCTTCTTGAACAGATCAGCGGTTCACAATTCTGGTCCTCAAGGACCCCTATCGTGCTTGTTTTAGTTGTTTCCCTGCTTTGGCACACCTGATTTAAATGAATGAGTGATTTGCAGGCTTCTGCAGAACTTAGAGTTAACTGAAGAGCAGGGAAACAACTAAAACATGGGGCTCCTTGGGGACCAGGATTTGAGAACCACTGGTATAGATAGCAATGTGAAGTTCCTTCCTCTTTTAATGTTATCTTCAGACCAAAATAATTAAAGTATTCAGATTCAAGTTTACTTTTCATCATCAGCTTTGTTAGTGGCCCCATGCAAAAGCATCAGAACATTTTTATTAGTATTCATCTAACATTCTTTCATTTCCATCATTCAATTCAGTATGCCTCCTGCAGCTTTGGAAAAACCAATGGAAAAAACAAACAAAAAAATTAATAAATAAAATGGAAGACTTGAGTAGGGACAGCATGCTGTGAATTTTGATGGAAGTCCATTCTACAATGTAATGGAAATGTTTAAAAAAAACTATTTCAACACAAATATCTTTAAGATTTTGGTAAAATGAGAGAAAATGCAGCCTTCATGGAAACTCTATAGTACAGGRGTATTTTACCATCATCATCCAAATTCTGAACAGACCACAAAACATTGAATAATTGAATGTACCTGAACTAAAACTATTTAAACACAATTGTGATTAAAGTTTTATGTTCTTTGAAGACTTTAAAACAAAATGTTCAATGTGGAGTGTGATGTCACTCAAACTTTTGAGCTGTTGAAACTTTCCAAAAACTTGTACAAACTCCATTTGCTCTACCAAATTTCACTTTTATACAGTAGATAAAAAATGTTAGCATTTTTCACATCTTTCTGTGCGTCTCACTGCTTTAAGACTTATAATTTCTTTAAAGTCTTCTCAGAGTGCACACATCCAAACTCTCATTGACGTCCATCATATTTGAGCTCTGACTTCTCTCTTTAAAACTTAAAGGAAATTGTGTTTTTAACTTGTCATGACCTACATAAAGGAACACAGTAATGTGCTTCAGTAACTTATCGTATTTATACAGTTTTTGTTTGTTTGAGGCTGACCTTTTACTTCTAGCTGCTTTCTGCCTGTCTTATTGAGAGGGCTGGCATAAAGTGAAAGACACAAGTTGTGGTTCCCACAGTGATGCTTATGTGCCACCAGCTTTCAATCTTTTTTGTATTTAACACTTCTTGGTACATTTCATACATCATAACATTTATATTGTGTCATTTTAGGCTATTACAAAAGTAAGTCCCAAATCATTATTTATACAAGCGAGTTCATGTGTATTGGTATTTCAAGCAGTAGCTGCCCTGGCTCCCTTGAAAATAATTTCAGAAATGTTTGAGTATTTATATAAAATCCCTCCTWATGTTAATGTGTTGGCTTCCAAATGCGATGTGAATACATTAATGTATGACGGTTGGTGTTGGAGCAACAGTGAAGCTCAGCTCACCTGTCAGTTCCCAGTGACGTTGTGCCGAAGTGGTGCTGACAGCAGGTGTTCTCCATGCAGCACAGTATGTGTCACAGCTATCAGTCCCCAGACAGAGAGCTGTCCACACTGTCCAGCCTAGTTAGGCAGACACAGGAGTGGGGAACAAAAACACATAGACACACACACACACACACACACACACACACACACACACACACACACACACACACANCACACACACACACACACACACACACACACACACACACACACACACACACACGCAGAATCCCTCATGTTTCCATGAACATGTGAACCCACACTTATGAGAATAATGGCACATCAAGGTTTGTTGGAGCTGATGACAATTGAATCGTTGGCTCGAAGTACAGTGAGGATGAATTTTTCCCTTCGCTTCATTCTACCCATTTCTGTTTCACCGTTTCGCAGAATCTGTTCTGCTGTCAACTTCTGTTATGTCTCAACTGTGGTGTGTTTTTAATAGTTTTACACTTTCTATTGGGGATTACACTATTTTTTTTAACACCATCCCCTTTTATTTATAATTTTTTGATTGTTTTGTACATCAGTTGCTCACTGTGACATTAATTTAACTGTGCTTATGTGTTTTGTTTTTCTCTGTGTATGTTGCAGGTGGCTGAAATGCACGGTGAGTTGATAGAATTTAATGAGCGCCTCTACCGTTCCCTTATGGCCAAAGACCACCTCATTGTTCAGATGAGACAGGAACTCATTGACCTCAGAGGACCGGTGAGTGATTGCACACCCCAGCACACTACTTTCATCTGACAAAGCTGCGAGTTTTATCTCTTTTCTTTAATTTTCATTTCTACCTGTATAGTAGTTTCATGTAGTTTCTTTTTCTTGATATTTAAAGTTTCCAACGCCCTAGATAAAATGTTTTTATAGAAGAAGTTGCATTGTTGACCAAAACCTAAAATAAGGCCAGCAGTTGCACCTTATCTCTCATTTATTCTTTTATTTTTTTGTAACGTTCACGGACAGCATCTCAWGGTGCAGATATGGAGATGAGGGTGTCTGGTTTAAGAAACCTCAGGATCTCATTTATGCATTTTGCATATAATGTGGTTCTGTTGGTGTCTTCCAGCCATGACTTGCAGTTTACAGTAGCATGTTTTACAGCCAGTGGCTGAGATGAGGGTCTGTTCTTCAAAACCCTTTCTCCACGGGCATGCCTTAAAACAGTGATTCCCAACCTTTTTAAGACTTGTGTACCCCCTGAGCCATTTTGTCATGTCACTAGTACCCCTTCAGTCAAATGTAATGATGATTCTTCAAAACTATAATGTACTACAACTGATTTTAAATAAAAATTATTTACTTATCCCCTAGAACATTTAATTCTTTGGCATTTTTTTCCAACTCAAATTAAACATAAAAATGTTGCCTTCAAAGTGAATAAGTAATTGAATAAAGCAGGTAATGGCYGGTGCAGAAAACAGCAGCATCCAAAATACATTGTATCATCCAAAATATGTCAGAAACTCACCCAAATGAGCAAATTCCATGAGATTCCACTGTTGTACAGTGTGAAGGCCTGAAGGAACTGTCCAAGGTCCTGAAAGGGCTGGAATGTTTCAGGACTTTAGAAAGCATGAAGGGTTGAAGGAACTGTCCAAGGTTCTGAAAGTGCTGGAATTTTTTTAGGACCATGGACAGTGTGAAAAGCTGAAGGCACTGTCCACGGTCTTGAAAGTGCTGGAATGTTTCCGGAACTTGGACAGTGTGAAGGACTGAAGGAACTGTCCAAGGTCCTGAAAGTGCTGGAATGTTTCAGGACCTCGGACAGTGTGTAGGTCTGAAGGAACTGTCCAAGGTCCTGAAAGTGCTGGAATGTTTCAGGACTTTAGACAGCATGAAGGGTTGAAAGAACTTTCCAAGGTCCTGAAAGTGCTGAAATGTTTCAGGACTTTAGACGGTATGAAATGCTGATGGAACTGTCCAAGGTCCTGAAAGTGCTGGAATGTTTCAGGAGGGTTCTCATCAATTTGTTTTTGCCAAATTTGTCCTACGTTGTTTGGATCCAACTCTGATGGGTTTCCAGACAGATGACACCCAGTATTGCATGCAAGCAATTTTGACCTCAACAGATTGCTGAGCCAGGGTGGAACTTACAAACTCCTCCTACAAGCTTTTCCTGTCAAGAGGTGCAGACCTATTAATCTATTTTAGATGAGCACATTCAGGTTTGAGCTAGACGGAGCAGTCTGAAATGAGCTGGTATACTAAGAGGTTTTGGACAAACTGGTTGTTCATGGTTACACGCACACTTTAAAACAGTGCCGTGACAAAATAGTAATAATAATAAAGTCAGACTACCGGATGATAAAACCACAATATCCAAAGCTGCCTACCGACTATCCCCTCACAATCACGTCCACAAAGTGAGCAACACACTACCTTGGAGACACACCTATATTTGAGTTGAACTGAACAGACAAGAAGTGATAGAGTGAGAGTTGACAATGAAGAAGGAGCTTAATTCCAAGGTGATGGTTTTTAACTGAAAATGAGGCGGAATATTTTTCTGGGTTGGGGGTGAGTAGAAAAGTCAAGTATATGTTCATTACTGATAGGACGATGAAACAAGTGGTAGATCAACAGAATCAGCTGATGTGGTATGGGCTTTTAATTAGAATGCTTCTTGAATACCTCCTTTGTGAGTTTTTCCATTCACATCCAACTGAAATGACACCATTGGGCTAAAATTCACATGGAGAGATTATTTATGCTTAGATCCTTCTGGAGGTGATGGGAGATTATGTTTAGGTTTCCCTCCTAAACCTGTTACATCCATGACCTTTTTAAAGCAAAATAAAATGAATAAATGGATGGATGAGTGTTCCTTGCAGTGCTATATTATTAAGCAATCAGTCTCTTGCACCATATTATAGCTTTTTTGTATTCATCAATGCAGAGTATAAATCAGTAGGATTCTCCTATTGCATAAAGAGCTTCTAGATTGCATCAGCTCCATAAGAATTGATACACTTGGGACAATGTTTGATATACTAGATTAGAGATGCAACCCTGGCTGTCTGTAATAGCTAACTAGATGTTTCTTAAACTTGTCTTCTACCAACCAAAATCCCTCTATTTCTTGTAGATACRGTTTTCCGCAACATATTTTTGGTTTCTTTAAGCTAAAGCTATTAGGGTTTTTGATAGCTATCAATGCTAATCTTAACAATCAAGTTTTTTACTTTGTATTTTAGACAAGCAACTTTATTTCAGTACTGTTGATTTTATTCCCTACAATATAATAAAACCTGACACACACATGTTTGGTCTTGAACCCCGTGGGGACCGTGCATTGACTTCCATTCATTTTGTTTTAGACTTTGTTATAGCCTAACCCTGACCATTTACCCTAAAATTAATCATTACTGGTCCATAGCTAACCCTAACCTGAACCAAAACTTAATTTACATCATACCTCTAAGCCTAACTAGTAAAGTATAGCAGAGCTGCAAACGAAGTGAGGACATTGAAGCAGTCCTCACATTACATCAAAGACCTCACTTTGATAGTAACTATGGTGCAAATGGTCCTCACTCTGTAGTCGAAACAAGTACACACACTCACATACATGTTTGTTCTGTAATCCCGTGGGGACCTTCCATTGACTTCCATTAATTTTTTTAGACTTTATATCCTAACCCTGACCATATACCCTAAAATTAACCTCACAGGTTACCTCACCTGACCATAAAATTAACCTAAACCTTGGTCCTAAATCTAACCCCACACCCGTAATTACCTCCGCCAAGGGCAAGGTAATGTTTTCTGTCGTGTGTGTGTATGTCTGTCTGTCGGTCTGTCTGTCTGTCGGTCTGTCTGTCTGTCTGTCTGTCGGTCTATCTGTCGTTCTGTCTGTGGACAACATTACTCAACAACTTGTGGATGGATTGTCATGACATTTTTACCACATGTGGGTACTGGGCCAAGGAACACACCTTTAAATTTTGGTGATGTTCTGGATCACGATGCGGATACAGGAATTTCTCTTCTTTTAACACTCTGAGATCGGCAAAGCTGTGATGCTTTCACAGGGCTTCTGTAAAAAACAGTGAGCTGGATTGGATAGTACCGACTTCAAACTTTATAAAAGTAATGTTAAAACCACATTTAATGATGAATAGTTTTTGCCATAATATGCACATTTACAGAACGTTTTGTGACCGGGAAGTGCGTGACTGCACCATGAAACCTATTTWTCCCATTTCCTCAAACACACCACATTTCCGAAACAACCAATRAAAACAGTTTCTCTCTACTAGGCTTGTAAATAGAGAGCTGTCGGCCCTCAAAGTTTGGAGATGGGGGGAGCCAAGAAGTACTTTATAAAGAGAGTCAAACCATTACAAACTCATACAAGGGGATAAAACTGATGTTTACATGGTGAAATGTGACTGATGAAAACTTAGGAGCTTAATCCGACACCAGTTTGACGATGACCAATGTCGGGTGACGAGTCTGACTTTTTTTTTTCACATTGGACTCCACCGAGAAGAAATTCCGTGCATACTGCCTGCTTAAATGTTCGCTATGTCAGAACTTATTCGGCGAATGTGTTTCCTTCTCTGTTTTTGTGCATTAACTCTTACAGGGTGGGGGAAATTGTTCTTGGCGGAGGTTTGCACTCTCCGAGTGCTTCTAGTTTGCATTTGGCCATGTGGGGACCTGGCATTGGTCCCCACGATTCACTACGGTCCCCACAAGGCTGCTTTTTTGGGGGGAAAATTGTCCACACATTTTAGGAAAAACCTGTCCACACGTGTGCTCACACACACACACACACACACACACACACACACACACACACACACACACACACACACACAC